CCCCCCCCAACCTTATGTGTGACAAGCTCTCTGGAACCTGTCCACCATGAGTTCCATGAACCATAGATTAAAGTAGAACAGAAACCAAAACTTGTTTTTAGTTTTAGATAAAGTAAAGGAAGGGTTATAGCACCTGTGGGCTTTGTTTTTCCTATGTGTCCCCAAGGGGAGATTTACCTTTAATTCCTGTCCTATGGCCACAATAGGAAGTGAGAGGAAATCCCTAGTGGTCAGCAGAATCATTAGAACCAGAGTCCCCACTGGAAGATTTTAAATCTATTCCTGTTCTGATGACAACCCAAACTTTGGGATTTTCTTTCACTGATAATGGTCAGCATGACAAATAGAGAGATTCAATCTCCGTAATGGGGACACATACAGCAATAAAAACCTGACAAGTTTTATAATCCCTCTTGACTTCATCCATAACAAAAAAGTTTTGGCTTTACTTGCACTCTAAGGTACATCAGACTTGCAGTGGGTGCATCTGCTCTGTAAGTCTTGGGTTGGATAAGGGAGACGGGTTAGGGCCCATTCACACCACCTCCAGATCACCTCCAGACCGGATTGTTTCTGGACCTAAAATGCATCCCAATGTTCGCCTATGCTCTTCTTGGCCTCTGTTCACACCATCACAGTCAGTTCCAGACCAGACCAGACCAGAAAAATACTGCGGGTCTCATTTTGTCTGGTCTGGAACGCGCACAAACGTGTCAAAAACGCAATAGGAAAACAAACATTTTTTTTCTGGCTGATTTGGATGATCTCATCACCCCTGGACTTCCTGCTTCTGTGGAGAGAGAGAGATTTGTGAAGATAGGAACCATGATGGCTGAAGTGGACACCAAATTATTTGTAGAACTTGTGGAAGCCTGCCCAGAGCTGTATGATCCGAGGCATTGGCAATATAAGAACAATAATAGGAAGATGGACAAGTGGAGAGGCATTGCTGCCCAGGTTGTCCCTGGCTATGATAATTTGAGCAGCTGTGAAAAGAAGCAAGACCTAAAATTGAACGCATCAAAAATGCGGCAAAAACGTGGCAAAACGCAACGCAGTGCATTTCAGATCTGGCCCAGAAAATGGTGTGAACCTGCCTTAATAGTCCTAGTCCCAGGCCAAAGATTCCAACCTGTTGTAGAACCCTCCTGATGCTTTACATCCACGTAGCACCAGCAAGTGAGAGAATTCAAAGGATATGCAGTTTTTTTTTCATCGGGTAATGCTGTTGCCTTATACACTTTTGAACAGTATATGTAGCTGTTCGGTTGGAGGTTTACTTGAAGTAAAAACTAGCGCAGTGTAACACATTGTTTGAATCCTCTTTTGTTAAGATTAATCTGACTTTCATGCATATTTAGAGACATTTATATGGTTTAGACATGTTCCTGCTTGCGGTTTACTTAGCAGTCCCAAAGATTTATTTAGACTATAAAATAAATGAAACGGGTCAACAATTGGAAGGAGTGCCAGACGTGTTGGGACATCAACCTCCTAAATGTTTCTTCTCATTTACATCTCTGTGTCTCTGTGCCAAGTGATGTTCCCCAGTTGTGATGTTACAAATAGAGACATGTTCTCGCTCAATAAATTCATTTTAACGGTGTGATATATTTAATAATAACAATAATACCACTTTTTAACAAAGGCAAGAATAAAATAATGTTTTAAGTAACAATTAAGAACTGTAACAGCTGCCTTGTACGGATGAGTGGAAACCCAGTACTGGTTTTTAACCAGTTTTCAGAAAATGTCATATTTTCTATCTTGTAGCTGATATACACCACCAACTTTTACACTGCTTACATGAAAAATATCTTTAGGATTGACCGCTAACGGTGCTCATGAATAGATTTGTCTTGGGCCCACGGTCCTGTG